TTGGTCCGTTTTCCCATTCTGTTTTATTTTTGATGTGTTGCTTTAGATCGTATTAACAAAATCCATGTTGTCGTGTGAGCAGCTTGAAGAAGCATTGCATGGGGATTAGCATACTGAAATAACATTTAAAGAGACAACTATTTTTGGTTTTTCTTAACCATTTCTAATTAATGAACACAGATTTTTGACAGCAGTAATTGTGTGTCTAATATAATATATAACTCTTAATAGTTGGTCTTTTACTTCTGATGTTTGGCTTTATTATGTAAAGATTGATGTCTCTTTAAATTGCTCATTTGCATAGCTCACTTCCTTTTTTGCATTTTCCAAATGACAGTAATTCCTTGAGCAGAAGATGGGCAAAGAGATTTGTACCCTGTCTAAAGAATTTGTACTTTGCCTGCATTTCAGTGCTATAGTTAAATACTAAAAATACGAATGATTATGAAATAATTTTTATGATATATAGTGCTATGTTTCACAGTCTTATTCAGGTACAAGTTGTTTGCCTTTTTTCTTTAGGAATCCCTTAAGATATTGTAGATTAACACAACTGTAGGTTTTAAGAATGTCATAATGCTTATTTTGTTTGCTGCATGCTTTCCTTTCTTCTTTTCATTTTCTGTATATAAAACTTTACTTGCTTTTTTAATAAATATTTTGTAGAAATGTTCATCATTTGTATAAATGCTATTTAAGTTTGTTCTTTTTATGCTCTTTTACTGCTTAACAAAATATGAAATGGAAGGCTTCAAGTCATTAGATTGATACTTGTAATGCCGTATAGAAAGGGACACACTTATTGCTTTAAAAATTAATTACATGAAACAGGTCACAGAGAACAAATGGGATATGGAGAGTCTACATGCAAAGTCTAATGACTTTGATGCTTCATCTGTAATCTAACTTCATAATGTCTTCCCAGTTTATTATACCACTAATGTGGAAAATAGTTATTAAAGAATGAAAATAAGAGGCTATTGCTAACAGTAGTGCATATTAATATTTTTATTAATGTGTGCTTGAAGGCCCGTTTGGACAAAATACAAACAGGGATCTTGAATAAAATATAGTCAAGAAGTAATTTCAGTTCTGCTCTCAGTAGATCCTGTCTAACTGAAAATCTCTTTCATATGAAAACAGTCATTGAGTACAATATGAACAGAGTTTGGAGTTAGTGTGTTATAATTAATGGCCCAAATCCTCTTGCCTAGTTACACTGACACAAGACAAAGGGTGTAGCTTTTTAGGGATGAATTTCCTCAACTTAAGTAATCACCATAGACATTATCTGTGCATACTGAGCTGTGTGACTCAACCTGTAAGTGATAATGTACAGTGCTTTCTTAACTTGGGAATATCTGCCTCCACAAATTATACCATTTCTGTAGTTATGCAATTAGATTTTAATCAGTAAGTTAACATGAAATTCACTGCTTTTTTACAACGAATGCCAGGAAATATCTGCCAAATGGTAACTAATGAAAAATATCATTAATGATATTTTGATCATTGTTTAAAATATTATTTGGGGCAGTCTACCATCCCCAAAGGCCTGTAATTCTATTTTAAAATTATATTTCAGATTATATTTAGGCTTTTTTGTTGTTTAGTCATTAAGTCGTGGCCACCTCTTCGTGACCCCATGGACCAGAGCACGCCAAGCCCTCCTGTCTTTCACAGCCTCCCGGAGCTTGGTCAAATTCATGTTGGTAGCTTCGATGACACTGTCCAACCACCTCATCCTTTGTTGTCCCTTTCTCCTCTTGCCTTCACACTTTCCCAACATCAGGGTCTCTTCCAGGGTGTCTTCTCTTCTCATGAGATGGCCAAAAACTTGGCTTCAGGATCTGTCCTTCTAGTGAGCACTCAGGTTTGATTTCCTTCGAAATGGATAGGTTGTTCTCTTTGCAGTCCAGGGGACTCTCAAGAGTCTCCTCCAGCACCACAATTCAAAAGCATCAATTCTTCGGCGGTCAGCCTTCTTTATGGTCCAGCTCTCACTTCCGTACATCACTGAGGGAAAAACCATATCTTTGACTATGCGGACCTTTGTCAGCAAGGTGATGTCTATGCTTTTTAAGATGCTGTCTAGGTTTGTCATCGCTTTCCTCCCAAGAAGCAGGCGTCTTTTAATTTTGTGGCTGCTGTCACCATCTGCAGTGATCATGGAGCCCAAGAAAGTAAAATCTGTCATTGCCTCCATATCTTCCCCTTCTATTTGTCAGGAGGTGATGGGACCAGTGGTCATGATCTTGCTGTTCTTTGGAAGTTTGCATTCAAATTTCTGTAACTTTCCCTGGCTCCCCTTCTGTTCTCTCCTATTTGCAAGGCCTTGTTGGACAGCCACTTTGCTTTCTTGCATTTCCTTTTCTTTGGTATGATTTTTGTTGCTGCCTCCTGTACAATGTTATGGGCCTCCATCCATAGTTCTTCAGGCACTCTGTCCACCAAATCTAGTTCCTTAAATCTGTTGTTCACTTCTACTTTCTTCAGTTTAAGCTTGAGTTTTGCTATAAGAAGCTGATAGTCAGAGCCACAATCATCAGCTCCAGGTCTTGTTTTTGCTGACTGTTTAGAGCTTCTCCATCTTTCCCTGCAGAGAAGATATTCAATCTGATTTTGGTATCGAACATCTCGTGATGTCCATGTGTAGAGTCGCATCTTATGTTGTTGGAAAAGAGTGTTTGTGATGACCAGCTTGTTCTCTTAACAAAAATCTATTAGCCTTTGCCCTGCTTCATTTTAAATTCCAAGGCCAAACTTACCTGTTGTTCCTTTTATGTCTTGACTCCCTAGTTTAGCATTCCAATCCCCTTTAATTAGAAGAACATATTTCTTTGATGTCAGTTCTAGAAGGCATTGTAAGTCTTCATAGAATTGGTCAATTTCAGCTTCTTCAGTATCTGTGGTTGGTGCATAAACTTGGATGGCTGTGATGCTGAAAGGTCTGCCTTGGATTCGTATTGAAATCATTCTATCATTTTTGAGATTGTATCCCTGTACAGCTTTTCCCACTTTTTTGCTGACTATGAGGGCTACTCCATTTCTTCTACGGGATTCTTGCCCACAACATTAGACATGATAATCGTCTGAATTGAATTTGCCCATTTCCATCCATTTTAGTTCACTGACGCCCAGGATGTCAAGGTTTATTCTTGTCATCTTGTGTTTGACCACATCCAGCTTCCCAAGGTTCATAGATCTTACATTCCAGGTTCCTATGCAGTATTTTTCTTTGCAGCATTGGACTTTCCTTTCACTTCCAGGCGTGTCCGCAGCTGAGCGTCCTTTCTGCTTTTGCCCAACCACTTCATTAGCTCTGGAGCTACTTGTACTTGTTCTTCGCTCTTCCTCAGTAGCATGTTGGACGCCTTCTGACCTGAGAGGCTCATTTTCAGCATCATATCTTTTAGCCTTTTGTTTCTGTTCATGGGGTTTCCTTAGCAAAGATACTGGAGTGGATTGCCAATTCCTGCTCCAGGTGGATTGCATTTAGTCAGAACTCTCCACTATGACCTGTCCGTCTTGGGTGTCCTTGCATGGCATAGCCCATAGCTTCTCTGAATTACTCAAGCCCCTTCACCACAACAATGCAGCAATCCATGAAGGGATATATTTAGGATACATAGCCATATAAGTACACTTGAACTATAATAACCAGAATTCTTATTTCAGCAAAGCTGATTCTATAGTGTCTATCTAGACTTCTGGGATCCAGAGTTTCATTTTGCTTTCACTAAGAACTGCATAGCTTGGGACCCTCTACAAAAAGCTAATTGACCTCTTCCAGCTGTTCTTCCCTGGCATACATTGTGGGAAACTGTAACTTGAAAGGATGTCAAATCAACATTCTGCCAACAACAGGGCTTTGCCACTCCTTCTCAGAACTTTTAAGCTTATTGTGAAATTTCCTTGCAACAGATCAGTTAGCAAAGTTGTCCAGAAACTGGGTTAAAAATACTGGTCTCGGTCTCCCATGGATCATGTCTGCAAATCATGTTATTTGTAGGCAAAACTAAAATCCAGGAGCCTCTCTTCAGGTTGAAGAGAGAGTCCTTCATATCAAGATACCTCTTTCCTGTACACTGGACAAGATGGCCTCATTCATAGTTGACTACAGTGTTACTGGCAGCAGCTAGAATGGACATTTCCATAAGGCAGAGAAATTGAGGTTTATCAGGGAATAGCTAGATAGATTCATTTGGTTAATTGTATTAAGTGAAAATATGACCTGTAAAAAGGAATAGAAAAAGAGGATGGACCTATAGAAGCCTGGTCTGTTTCCTTTGCCTATAATAATAATTCTGTTTCCATTGAAGCGCCCCACAAATTAGCTCAGATTCAGGAAAGATGTTTTGTAAATTATGAGAACAATTGCCCATGTATCCTCAAATAGTTTCATATGCAATAATAGCTTTTGGATGAATAATGCATTATTGGCTTCGTTATCCCCATTTAGCTAAATTTTGAATCAGCAAAGATTGATTGTAATTTTTATCAATGTTTTTATTACCAAGATATTTTGGTCGTGTATATGCTTACATACTGAACAGAATGCTTTCATCTAAATAGCAGCAACATCAGTTATTATAATGCAAATAAGTCTTATTTCATGGTTTGTCAATGTGTCATATACTAATCAGAACAGGAATTGATTGGTATTAATAAGTCCATAGTGCCTACAGCCATGGTAAGATATCTGTAGATCCAACATTCTGTCACAAACACACACGAATTAAACAACCCAAAGTATTTCTCTTTTGAAACTTAGTGCATAAATAGTTTGCACATGTAAAATTTATTTTTAAATTTTCTTAAATTTATTATAAGCATATGCTTTTATTGTTTGTCTCAATGTCATAAATTAAAATGACATAAATTATCTTCATTATAGTAGTAAACCAGACACCAGGCTAAAGATTAACAGTTATATTTAAATTAAAGATTTCCAGCATTATCTAAGAAATGACAGACTGATGCATATTTTCTCATTACAGATAAAACTGTGGTATGACAAGGTTGGTCATCAATTGATAGTCACAATATTGGGAGCAAAGGATCTTCCTTCAAGGGAAGATGGGAGGCCAAGAAATCCCTATGTTAAAATTTACTTTCTTCCTGACAGAAGGTAGGATTGAGTAATATTGTAATTATTTTAATAGATGCTAATATATTATCTTGACAATTTAGCAGTGTTTGTAATTGATATGATCATAAAATCCCAAGGATATGGCTAAAATTTATTTATATTTTATGAGAAAGATAGTACAAAATATGGAACCAGGAAGAAAAGGTGATGTAAATATCACACATATAATTGTTCCTCTTCAGATTACTTTCTTTAAAAAGATTATGACTTTCTTGTTCTCTGACATAAGATAAAGGAATGTTGGTTATGCTCATAGCTAGTGGTAAATACAGTTGGTCCTATGAACAATTGTATATTTCTGTAATCTTCAAAGCATTTACACATTAGTGAATGAGTTCTTAAAATCCAAAATGTCTCATGTTGGAGCATTTGGGTCTTAGGGGATGCTTGAGGAAAAGCCTTCTGATTTCTTTTGCAGAGGCCACAGCAAATCTTCTTGGTACAGGGTTCTCCTATTGATTCAGAATCCACTGGAAGAGTAATACTGTACTCTCTTGCATTCTTGGGTGCTCTTTGCCAAGATCCAACATGAATAACATTAAGCAGAGCAGAGGGACAAATTGTGGCAGGAGACAGAGAGATACAGAGTGGAGCAGCAAAACTTCAGACTCGCTTGTTTGTTTATCTGTGCCTAGATATTATCCATGTGTTTAGTTTATATGCTGTGCTGTACTTGGAATTCAAGTTTTTGTAGTGCTATTCATTTTTCTGGGAATTGACTTTTTCCCTCTAGACCTTAGATACTTTTAAAGAATAAGTCTGCTCATTAGATGGCTGAAAAGTAATTTTTGTTATTACTCATTGCAGTGTTTTAAGGAAATGGCTAGTTGCATTAGTCATAGCATTGCTATTACTGTTCCATCATTGCATGTTGTGTTTAAAAAAAAGGCAACCGAAAAGGCAAAAACCTGAAAAATTACTGTCAATATACCTGTCATAATATCTAAACATTTATTTTAAAGATAACTAGAAATCATGAGTTTTTTCACTAGTGAATTAATTTGGTTTCAATTTGTTACATATTTTTTTAAATTTATGTTATGGTATAGGGTTTCCAGAAGATGAGTTGAGTTGAGGACCTTTGCCCAAATATCATATGTTAGGGCTTCCTATTCCTCTGTAGTGGATATTAACTGATTTTCCCCCAGACTCTTTTGAACAGCCAACACTTGTGATGTACACATGCTTATGTACCTATATTTTTGTGTCTTCAATGACATTGCTATTCTCAGGGCACATTAGAACAATGAACGAAGAAACAAACAAGCATACTGAATTAGCCACACCATAAAACAGCACCTGGGTAGATGAAATAAAAGTTTCAGATAATTAGCAAAACAAACAAACAAACAAAAACCAAACTGTATTCTCGAAGGCTTTCATGGCCAGGATCTGATGGTTGTTGTAGGTTTTTCGGGCTCTTCAACCCACAACAACCATTAGATCCCGGCCATGAAAGCCTTCGTGAATATAAAATCAATATGTCTTTGGTGAAAAAAACAGGAGAGAGATGAGAATAGAAAGATTAGGAGCCTAAGTAAAACTAACAGTGGAGAATCTGGATGCTGGTTTATTTCCTCATTGAATCAACCGCTGTTGTCTTTGGTGTCCGCAAAGCTGGCTCTATGCCATCCCTGCCCAGCTTTTTTTGTGTGACATCACATAATTGCCTATCCACATCTAGTCATTTATATATCAAGACTTTATTTCTTGTGTTTTCTTCAGCTTTAGTCCACTGTCTGGCTGCAGCAAGCACCAGACCACCATGTATACTCATCCACTTCCAGGTGGGGTGGGAACCTAGTACTCTTGAGTGGTGCTGGTTGGTTGACTTGTCAACTAGTAGGAAATGGATCAGTGGATCATCTTTGAAGACTAAAATGCCCATGTTTTTCCCAATTCCTCTAGTATTTGATGGTGTAAACCAGGCTTGTCCAACCTGTGGCCCGAGGGCCGCATGCGGCCCAGGTCGGCTCATAATGCGGCTCAGTGCAGTTTTTTATTTTAAAAGAAATTCCAAAGTTTCAAGTTACACTGCCGGCGCTTGCGGCCGGAATGCAGCTGGGGCATGTCACAACGGTAGGGGGGAGAAGGAAGGAAGGAGCGGGGGGGGGAGAGAGGGGCTGCGTGACTGCATTGCACCATCCCCGTCAATAGGTGGCCCCCCTCCCGGCCCCATAAAGCCACCGGAGTTGAAGCTGGCAGCCTCTGCTGTCTGAGATCGCAGCTGCCAGTAAGCGTGCTTGGAGCGGGGCTGCGGAGGACGGCTAGGGCTGCCCCCAATGCGGCCGAAACCAAATTTATGTGTGGCCCAAACCAAATTTTCATCTTCTAATGTGGCCCAGGGAAGGTGAAAGGTTGGACACCCCTGGTGTAAACCCCTGTTTAGCTCCTTAACAATGGTCCAGTTTATAGCAGGAAATTCTCCATGCTTTTGCTGATTATGGGACTCATTGTTACTGCATGTGGCTTCTAAGGCTGTCCATATAACCTCAGAGTGAGATTAATAGCCACAAAAGAGCAGAACAAACCCCAGTGTTAAGACTCTAAACAATTACAATCTACTACTACTGTGGAAAGATAGGCCTGGTGAAGGGGAAGGAAATGGATGGATTTTTTCTGTTTGGTTAGTGGACAGTAAGTAGGACACTCAGTTACAATGTGACAATAAGTTAAATATTAAATAATATATGATTTAAAATAGAATTAAAAGAGTAAAACATGAAAACATAAAAAAGATTAAAATAATCTACTAAAATGGGGTTCAGGGATTCAGTTATAATTATTAAAAGCCTGCCTGAAGAAATGGGTTTTTAGCTTTTTTCGGAAAGATAAAAGGGACAGATGGCCAGAATCTGTTGATGTTTTCATTGATGAGGTGCTGTGGCATATCTTGGTTGTACACCTGATCATGTGCCCAACTATGCAACAGAGATGCAACCAGGCACCTTGTCACAATTAGCTGTAGCGGCTTGCATACATGTTGCCTGAACACCAATATGTCTATATTTTGTCGAATTGAATACGAGCTACAAATACTTGTTTAAGCTTTTGCTGTCTTCTCTAAAATGATAAGTCTTTAGAAAAAAGACTTTATTGCTAGTGAAAATCTTGCTCCAACCATGTTAATTGCTCTATTATTGAAAGGAGTGCATTTTATTGAGATTATTGCTATGAAAGTACAGCCTAAACTAGTCTTCCCATTTCTTGTTGTACCAATGACTCTATTTTCCGTTCTCCATGCTTGGTGTTTCATTTGTTTAAGCATTCCACATAATTAAAACTGAAGTCTAGCAAAGAATGATAGGGTGCCCGCAGTTGATAGAGGTAGGTGAATTCATAGTAGCATGTAATGCACGTGGGTACACATGTGCATACACACGACACCAGAACACAAACAGAGTTCTAACTCCTGTTCTCTGAAGATGCCGGCCACAGAGACTGGCAAAATGTTAGGAAGAAAAACCTCCAGAACATGGCCAAACAGCCCAAAAAACCTACATCAACCATCGGATCCTGGCTGTGAAAGCCTTCGAGGATACGTATTTCATTCGCTTTCATCTGTGTCTTTTGAGTCCTCATTTGTAGTATGAAAATCTTCTTAAATAATAGTTGCACTGAACCCGGTGGTGATGCTTATAATACCTGTATTACTATAGATTCTGTCTATGAGATTTATAAACTGTAATTGTATCATATATATTATATATACAAAGCATAATAAATACAATGCTTTCTACTAATAATTTTGAAATCAACGAGTATATGCATTTTAAAGTGATAATATGTCACTATCGTTATAATTTTCACAGGCATTACTTTTTCATTTAAGACAAGTAATGTAGATCTTTTTCATTAATTATTTGTAGCATTTTCTTTCAAGTTTAAAGTAAAAGCAGCTTGTTATATTGAATTAATTTTCTTCTGACAGCAAAGCAGTCTCTCCCACCCCCGGCCTCTGAGGAATAAGCTTACTAAGCAAAAATAAATCTCCTTTATATGGAAAAATAACCTGCTAGAGATAAAATGTAATTAAACAACTCAAGCATTTAATTAGGTAAGGTTGTGAAGCTCTGACTAATCCAATTCTCAGGAGAAACTTGTCCAATACTGTATAACCAAGTTCAGTTTTCCTATGTAAACAACCCTTTAATGTTAAAATGAAGCCATTAATGATCTAGTCAAGAACAACATAGTTTGAGGAGTGCTATAAAAACAGAAGTAGCCTGAAGTAGCATTTCTTAAATGTGTAGTTGTGTTATTTTCATGCAGTCTTGTGGCACCTGAAAACCCAATATATTTTATGATAGCAGAAGTCTTTGCGAACAATATACATTCCGTCAGATACATGAAGTAGTTATCTCAGCTGACAAGTTTGTTAGCACATGCATCCTTGTAGAGATTGTATATAGTGGGTCAGAAAGAACTGAAATGCAATAAATATCGACAGTGATAATTACCTTAAGAATGTCCAGTAATAAAACGTTTGTATGGTAACACATAAATCCTTGTAATAATTAACGTGTTTCAACACAATTGAATACATTGTGAAAGTATGTCCATGATAACATCACAGCTGTTAAATAATTACTTACGAATAATCAGTTACTTGTGATTAGTTTCTTTCCTCACTAAGGTATAATTTAATGCAGGATAACATCACTTTTTGGTATGTAGCCGTAGCAAGTAAAAATGCATAACTGACAGTGGAATTAAGATGTTAATTGCTTAGAAATATTGGAATTATCAGGAATGATTAGCTGTTTGCTGGAGAATTTTGGCAGGAATACCTAGCAAGGGTAACCTCTTTTCCTAAAAGGAGGCTAGGCAAGAGCTTGACCTATCTAAGGCCATGAAACCTTCCAACCTGGTCTTGGATAGTCCAAGGAAACCAGAATTTAGGTATGGACAGATGGAACTCCCAAAATGGAGACTTCCAGGATTTGGAGTTGTTGTTTTTCAAATAAAGGCATAAGTCT